CCTTAAAGTTCCACACCGCTTTAGCCCGCTCRGCCTCCACCATGGCATCGAAGTTCCGACTTCAGTCCTGAAGAGTGGATTCCAAGTCTCGAACCTGCTGGCGAAGAAGCTCCCTCTCCGCCGCCACCCTCGACGACTCCTCCCGGTAGCGAGCACTCTCCTCAGATAGCCGGGCGATCTGCGCCTCCTGGTCCCGGACGAGCAGTTCCTGGGCCTCGCTCCCCTTTTGAGCCTGAAGGACATCACCTCGAGCCCGGTCGAGTTCGCCTTGGAGCTTCTGCAAAGTTGACCTTTGATTACGAGCGTTGCCGGAGTGGATGTTGGCCCGGAGGGCCATGGCGTGGATGGCGGAGTTCACCTGCCAACAGAAGACTAAGGTCAGAAAGGAGAAAAGGAGAAAAAATAAAGGAGGAAGAGAAAGGACACTTACTACCATGCAGTAGGTGGAGGCAAACCTAGCGAGCTCCTTGGGGTCCATCTCTCCCCAGCTARCGACCTCCTCGTGGCAGATCGCCCTTTGGCTTTTTTGTGCAGCCACGATGTAGTCATTAACACCCTCCCAGTTCCCGGTAGGGAACTACGGGAAGGGGAAGGGGCGGGATGGCCCAGACGAAGGAAACTGCCCTTGCACCAGGAGCTCGGGCCCTTCTACACCACCTTCCGTGGCGACTCCCTCGAATGGGACAGGTGGAACCTCAGGTGGTGGAGAATCGAAGACCGGGTCAGCAAACTTGAAATCAGCACAACCAGAAGTGGAGGCTTGGTCAGGACGCGACCTCTTGGCCTTGCGCTTCTGGTTGGTGGACAGAAGGCGGCGTGCGTCAATACCCGACATGATGGCTACCAAAAAATCACAAGGTATTAGTCTAGTAAAAAAACAAATTTACAAGGCACTACGCGACCTAAAAGGCAACCTACCTGGGCTTAGACCAGCCTGCGCGAGCTTCTCCTCGGTCAAGTAGTCCGACCAATGGAAGCCAACTGCTGCCCAGGACTGCAGCATTTTCCGAACTTCGGGGTCCAACTCACCCCCTGAATCCTGGATGGCGGCCCTCCAGTGAGTTGGGAAGGGCCACCCTTCGGGATCCTATTCGGCAGCTCGTATAAGAGCTTGAAGCTGCGGCGGGGAGAAAAATAGTAGGAACACCTTTCTGGAGGCGCTCCGGGAGAAGCATTCTTGATGCAGAGGATGGTGGAGAGGATATCAAGATTGAGGGGAAGACAGTACTCATAAAATAGAGAAATAGTCCCAACTACATTTCGAATGGAGTTTSGGTGAAGCTRGTCAATGGTGACATTGAAATGGTTSAAAACCTCCACTATCAGAGGATGCAGAGGAAGACGCAGGCCAGCCTCGAGCTGTTCCTGAAAGATCACTATCTTGTTGGGACCATGCTCMYARGGAAAGTTACTAGAAGGGAGACTGTGSATGAGGTCTCCGGGAAGGTTAAAATGAAGAACTAAAGATCTAAGTCTCTCCATCGACATAGAGGAGGGACMGAAGCTGTCGAGCACCCTRCCCCGAGAAGTGGAAGCTGTCTTGCCGGAGGCCTCCCGAGCCTTTGGAGCCTGCCCCAAGCTCTCCCTGAGCTCAAGGGGGCGTCATCCTGGTTACCGTCCCGGGAATAGACGTGGTACGGATATCCAAACATATTGACAAGATGATAAGACTCACAAAAAAAGAAGAAACGGTGTGAACRGGAAAAGAGCCCGGGAAGCTAAATAGAGACGCGACCTCAGAATCCGAAGACAAGGCAAGTTAGCGTAAAAGAAAGTGAGGTCTGGRGCCTTCCTATTTATAGCTATTGTGCCCTCAAATCGACGGCTCGGACTGAGACAGATCTGACGGTTCACAGTCAAGYTGATCRCACGTCTTCTGAAACYGAAATGTGAYTGGCTGCTGCAYGTCTCCCATKATTGAGGTAATGACGGYTGTACGACATCCGGAGTTAAGAGCCGCTTTGGTGCATTTCTCGGCATTCGAAAAGTCAARAATCCCCTGACTTYCGCGTGCMCATTTAATGCGAGCAGTCAATCAAGTTTGAAATTCAGTCAAATCCACCCGTCACACTTCATGAACTCCTCACGCTAAGGTAACACTCTTAGCCCGAGGAGTGGGGGGCAATTAATGGAGGGTGATTTGACCCGACCCCTTGGGACAGTGACACGTGGACATGACTCAGCATAAGTAACAGCTCAGCATCATAACCTGACTGTGACTAAGTAACGGGCCCGCAGGACAGCTCTCTACGTCATAGCTCGCTACAGGAGGAGCCCGCTACAACGCGAGCTCAAGAACCCCCGATGTACTAAAAGGGAATACTCCAAGACAACTCTATCCTAGCTCGCGAGTTGGGGTAACCAGCTCGCTCCAATACTTAGGTAGAAAAACTGCCTAAGGGGCCACTTCAGGAGGAATCACCTCACAATACCCTCAGGAGCTCGCTACAAGGTAGCTTGCGACAGGGTAGCTCGCTATAGGGCAGCCCGCGATAGGGTAGCTCACTACAGGGCAGCTCGCTACTGAGCGACGCGATGTTTTCAGGAAGCTTCTATCTAACAAGACCGTACCCGCCAGTCTGCGCCACGTCTCCTGACCGACGGCGCAGTCCCTGCCAGCCCGAAAAGTCTGCGCCCACGCCTCTTGACAGGTGGTGGCGTGTCTGTCCTTCCGGGACGTATCACTCATCCGATTGGGTAGTACACTGAAACGGTTACCTGCGCAGCCCTGGCGGATAATGGCTGCGATAGAGGTCCAGTGGCGGTTACACTCGATTTGACAAGAACGCTCATATATAAGAGCCCCCTAGTTGAAGGGAAGGACTCTCTCAAAGATCTGATATCATATCTTGAATATCTCGAACCTTCTCTCGAGCTAACTCAGTGATCTAGCGCCGCGACCTACACTCTTAGCCTTCTTTACACTCTTTACTACTTTCTCCAGCGTTCTAACTTAAGCATCGGAGTATTCCCACCGAGCAAGTCCCCCGGGAATCCTTCACCGCTCTCTTCTCAGGTACCGTCCGTCGCCAGCGAGGAGCCAGTCAGCTGCCAGCTAGGAGTGCCTGGATTGCACACCATCAGTTCATATAAATTGCAAAGTTGGGTTAGTTTTGCATTGACAAATTTACCTTCTTACAGAACTGACTTTATGGATGTAAATACGAATTCCAATAAAGCATATGTTTTTTTTTATCAAAAGCCTACTCGAATGCAATATTGATGTACTTTTACATCTTATTATCAATGTAAATATGTAATATTGTCAAACACAAGCAAAAGTGAACCAAAGTGCAAGTTTACCCGAACGGGAAATTATACTCCATTTGCATCGTTTCCAAACTCAACCTAAGAGAAAATTAAATTCTAGGAAAAAAAAAGAAAATGCACCATTTTCAGGCATCAATTGAGAAAGAATACCTCTTATTAATTTCAGTTTGTCCGACAAGTACCCCAAAGAGAGAAAAGTTAAAGTTTGCATTAGCGCTGCCGGTCATCACAAACCATATGCTTTGTATACATCAAATTTCTCATATTGTTTTTCAAGCCTTTTATAATTTTGTGATTTTTTTTTTGAATTTTTAAATAAGAAACTAAATGTGGGGTTATTTAAGTTCACAAGCAACCAATTCAATTAAGACACTGAATGTAATATGGGCATCTTTCTGACACCAGTCCGTGCATTGCGTGGATTCACCGGTATCATAAATAAATGTGTTTCACGTGGTATTTATCGAAATTCATGAGTGGGCTTTGATTGATTTTTCCTATCTTTTCTCCAAATGAAAACAGACCACACATTAGAGAGTTGCTATTTGACCAGGGAAAGGACAGTAATTTGGATAAGAGACAGTTTATTAAATAGCAAAAATCAATTATTAGATTTAGAGTCAATGGATCAGACCCATTTATTTCTCTCTAAATCAAATTGAGAATTGAAATCGGTAAAGTGTCTTACTAGTTGTAGCCAAGAATTAGAATTGAATCCGGTCTACACTTGGGTTAGGGGTTCGGATTTACTACCCACGAATTGTTCCCACATCCTTACCTAGATGGTGTTCCGTGGGTATGAATGTGATAACAATTTGTGTATAGCATATCTGGAGTGTTGGGTTGGCGAGTGTATGGGTTCGGGGGACAGGCTACCCAGTTGTATAGCCCCTTGGAGCAAAAGAACTGACTATGTATTTAAATATGTCCCAAAGTCCATTTCCATGCTTTCTATATTAACTTAATCACCCCAAATAAAAGGACAAGATAATCCATGCTTCTATATAAAACAAGCTCATTCATACACGAGCAATGGTGAGTTGATATTTCTCCATTCTCAAATCAACCCTCCCAAAAAGTCTTCTTCTCCTCTATTCTGTCTCTTCAGAGTCATGGAGAAAGGTAAGCCCAACTATTCCAGTACTCTAATTTTCATTCTATCAACTGATGAATAATTCACTTCCTCCCTCTCAATCTCTCTAGATGGTGGAGCTGCAACATCCAAACTTCTACGGATCCTTGCCGCATCTTCCGTCACTGCTGCTGCCGCTACTTCCTTCTATTATCACTGTTGGAATCGCCCGGCGGCGAGGGACCGAAAGATTATTCCGCAGTTACGCCTGACGGAATCCGGCAAAGTCGATGAGCTTGAAAGTTTCTCCCAGTATGTAGGTAATGGAAGATGAATAATGCTCTGGGAAACTTGTTAACTAACCCATGTTCAGATTCTCTGTGCTTTAATCATTCTGCACTGTTTCTGATAAAGATATATATGCTTAATTCATTAATGGTGTTTTAATACTTGTTCTTGTTCAATTATAATTAATTGAGAGCATATTCATATTTTATTGAAAAAGAGAAAAAAAAAAGTGAAAAGAGAAGGGTCCTATAAGCCAAAGACAGATCTCTTTCTTCTCTTAAATTTTGGTTCTGTTTTGGGTTTGCAGCTAGACAGATAGGATTTGCAGAGATAAACGAGTGTCCACAGCTGGCCAAGTTGGCAAACGATTACCTGAGGAAATCAAAAGGATGTGAAGACAACATTTATGCCTTCTTTGTTAATGACCCAAATGCTGATTCCCTGTTTGTAAAGCTGGTAGAGGAGTTCGAGAGATGCATCCTCAGTTACTTTGCCTTCCATTGGAACCATGCTTCTCTTATGATCAGTCAGGCAAGCTTCATTATCCATTGTTAATGCATTAATTAATCAAGCTTTTATTATATGTGTACCTAAAAACAAAGAACTCAACTAATGATGTTTGCAACTCTTTTATTTTTCTTTCTGTGGTCTTTTTTTTTTTTTTTTGGTTGGACTCTCTGTGGGTTGGTTTCAGGTACTAAGTGCTGATACAGAATCAAAAAGAAAGTTAAAGAACATGGTCATGGCAGCCACAAGGTGGGTTTTATTCTCTTTCTTCTGTTAACTTTTATAACAGAATTAGCTTTTTATTTCTGAAGCTTTCCTTGGAAAAAAAACAATCACTACGGTGTCAAACTATTTGAATCCAAATGAGCTGAATACTTCTTTTCTTTTGCTTTTTCCAAACAAATTGATTATGGTGAGGATGGTTAAGGGGGTGTTTGGTACTGTGTTGCCATTTATATTTTGGGTTGATAAATAAAAAATTGTGTGAGAAAGATTAAAAGATTTTGCATTTTACATACTTTGTATTTGTACTCATTCCAAACTGAGTCAAGCTGTATTTGGTTGCAGTGCAATTTTATTTGCACTAATGCAAATGTATGGAAGCGCAAATGAAAAGAATATAAATTTTGGTTTAATTTTGTTTTGCTTCATTTATATTACAATCAAACAAAATAAGATAAATTTTAAAATAAAAATAAATCATAATTTACCTTACCATGATTTTGTATCAATGAAATAAATTCGCATTGTTCTGAACTGATCAATACAAATTGCTAGATCTGTCTAAAACATTCTCTTATACTACATGTATTTGCAACATATATTTCTTATCAACAAATCGGACCACTTCCATACCTAAAAAACCCTTAAATTTCTCATTTTTTGAGAGTGAAAACGTCAGAAAAGACAAATTTACTCAAAACTGGACCACAAAATTTGCTTTAGTTCTGTACTAACACAAATTTCTTATACTGCCATCTTTTCTCCATTGGTCAATAAATAATCCCTCCATGTGATTCATGAGGAAATCAAGAATATTAAATATTTTTTGGTAGGAGAGGAATATTAAATATCCATTTGTGAAGGAAGTAAAGGCCCATACCCAGCAAGTAGCACCTAATTAGCTGTAAATGAGCCACGATCAATTATCTCGTTGATAAGCCGGGTTGCATGGGCTGAGCCCGAACCCTAATCTAAGAGCCCATTTGGGAGGAATTTCGATCTATGTGCGTTCCATATTAACTTCACAGTGTATTGCAGTTGTGTATTAGGAATATCTTTTCATGAATGATAATGTCAAGTATAAAAGATGTTCTTAATGCATGGTTAGGATGCACTGTGAGATTGGTGTGAGGTACACTTTGCAAGAAGCAACTCTGATGTCATTTGAGAGGGCTTCCATCATGATTAAGCTGCTTTAGAGAAGTTAGTTCTGATAATTTAACCAGAAAGTTGACTTTTGGGTTCATATAAATCTATTATATTCTAATATTAATTAACACGTGAAAAGGATTACTTGTGTTATATGATTATATTATTTTCCGTAACTTAATAAAAAACAAGGAAAATGGTGCTTGTAAAAGGTTCCCCTCAATTTTTTAACTTCAACATGGATATTTTTTATTATCTTTTATCAACCAATTAAGTTACATTAACATTTGTTTCATAATGATGATGCTTCTGGCTCAGTTTGTTTGTGATGCAATTTTATTTGCACTAATACAAATGTGAGTGCAAATGAGAATAGTGTAAGTTTTGGTTCATTCTTGTTTAATAAAATCCAAAGTTAATTTGTTCTCCCATACTTTTAAACCAGTATAAATTGAAATTGTATTGCAAAAAACAAAGGCGTTAATTATTCATATCTAATAAGGTTTGACCTTTTAACCTACGATCTTAAAATACAAACACCATTATTTGGTGAGAAATATGTGTTTTTCATCCGTCATGTCAATATCGCATCAGTGAACCAGTGAGGGGCATGGTTTTGAAAATCAGACCGGACCAGACAGTCAGACTGGTTGATTTAGAAACCAGTCAGACAGCCGTTCCATTTCACCTTAAAATTGGACTTGGGCCAAAAATTGTTGATTTGGTCAGCTGTCTGTTGATTTGGGTGGTCAAACTGTTGACCCAAACAATGATTTCTTTTTTATTTTTATTTTTTTAAATCAGAATTGATCATCTATTTGAACCGAATGATTAGACCATTTGACCCAAGAATCGGTCCTCAAAACGGTTTTTTAAACCCTTGATGAGGGGTATGGAGATTAAAATACTAGTTGGTTTAAGATAAGTTTCAAATGGAAATAAGGAGAGTACCAAACATCCCCTCGTAATCAGACATTGTTTTTGCCATTTACTCATGTCATGGTTTATTTGAAAAGATTAACAAAAATGATGTTGGTGTTGGGTGTTGAATAGAAAACAGAGATTTGATAGAGTGACTAAGGACTTGAAGGTAACGAGAGTGTTCTCTACGCTGGTGGACGAGATGAAAGCAATCGGAAACTCGCATCCAGACGTGATGGTTCCAGTGGCCCACGATGAGAGGAGTCCGGTACTTCTTCTGATGGGTGGTGGCATGGGTGCTGGCAAGAGCACCGTCCTCAAGGATATACTCAAACAGTAAGAACTCGATTCATTATTATTTAAACAAAAAAATATATACCAATCAATTAAGCCCATAATTTAACAATTAAGTGTCTATTTGGGAGGATTTTCATATAAGTAAAAATTCAGAAAGCCTAAAATAGGTTATTCCTCTCTCATAGGGGTGTTCACGGGTTGGGTTGGATCTTTTTCAACTGACCCGACCTAGTCGGTTTACTTATTGATTAAATCCAAACCGACTGACCCTGAAGCAAAACCAAAGGATCAGCTTGGGTCGGTTTATCGGTTTAGTCGGTTTTTATATATATTTTAAACTAAAATATCTATTTATATTTAAGTTTATTTCTTTTTAGTTTTTATGCAAAACCAAAATATATATTTAAATTGATTAGTTTTTTATGCAAAATTGATTTTTTTGTCAATATATATTTAAATTTATACAAAACTGAATTAAAAATTGTACCATTGTATATTCAAACAAAACACAAATAAAATATATCAGCATTTAACATATAGGGTAGGGACTAATTAATAATTACTTAAAAATATAGGATTGTTTCAGTTCGGTTTCATTTCGTTTCGTTTTCATACATGAGAACCGAATTGTTGGTTTATTTTCTCATACAAACCAAAACCGACCAGTAATTTTGAAAAACTAACCAAGTCGGGTTGGGTCGGGCCGGTTTGACATTTAATGTGAACACCCCTACTCTCTCAAAAAACACTAAGGGTCCATTTGGCTTACAGCCAGAACCGGAATTGGAATTGAAATCCTTCAAAATCAGAATTAGAATGGTCTATTCCCATAATTTGTTTGGCTGGAATGGAAATAGGAATTGAGGCCTTGTTTGGTTCACATGAATAGGGGTCTGGAATCAAAATTGGAATGGGCAATTCCAATTCCAACTGTTTGGTTGGGTGGAATTGGAATCCCATTCACATTCCTGCTGGAATGGCACTCCCCCATTTAAGGGAATGGCCATTCCCTGCCCCTCCCATTCCTGCTGATTCTAATTCTCATTCTTATTCTTATCTTAACCAAACAGACTATGGGAATAGGCCATTCCGATTCCAATTTCAAAAGATTTTGATTCTGACTGTGAATCAAACGGACCCTGAAATCAGCAGGAATGAGATGTCATTCCCAAGGGAGAGGCAAGTAATGGCCATTCTCTCAAATGGAGAATGCCATTCCAGCAGGAATGGGAATGGGATTCTGATTCCACTCAACCAAACAATTGGGACCTATTCCAATTCCGATTCCAGATCCCTATTCCTGTGAATCAAACAGGGACTAATTATATTTTGTTTTTACACCATTGAAGCTTAAAAGGAACATGAATTGAAGTAGTAAGTAACGATGATGATGATGATGAAAGCTTCTATGGTTCGTTGTTCCACTGACCTGCAAGGGATTAGCTCATGGATGTTATGGCTCATGGCACTAACATTCTTCAACATGACCATTGTAGAGATGGGATTTCTTGAATTTTTAATTTTTTATTTTCGATAGATCCCATCTCCCCATTAAAATTGAATGCCATAATTTATGCTCCATGACTAAAATTGCATCTCACCTTGAAAGTTGTATTAGCCCATAAAAACCCAGGCCGGCCCGGTTCATGATCATCCCAACTCAAACTTTTGGAGCTGAACAAAATCTTGTAGTGTGTTAGACTCTCAGCTTGTGAATGATGGAACTTTGGGACTCACAGAATCTCTTTCTTTTCTCTTTTTTTAAATTCCACTTGTTTGAAATGTGCAGATTTTATACAAAGTAACACAGACTTCATTCAAGGGCATGAAATTAAAAATGATGGAAAAAAAGTTATTAGCATATAAAATAATTTCTCTTGTTGTTTTGTGATGTTTGGTTGTATCTGAAAATTAAATTTCAAAAGTGAGAAGTAAATTAGTAATTGTAGTAGAAAAATGAATCATTTCTCAATTGATTCAAGAGTAAGAGTGAATTGGGATGAGTTGAATTTTCTTAACCTGAAAAAACAAATGGGTGCACGCAGAGCTTTCTGGACAGAGGCAGCGGAGAATGCAGTGGTAGTTGAGGCAGATGCTTTCAAGGAGTCTGACGTCATCTACCGAGCCCTCAGCTCTAAAGGCCACCCCCATGACATGCTCCAAACTGCAGAGCTGGTGATCATTCCCCCCAGGATGTCAATTTTTTCCATTTCTTCAATCTTTGTGGGATCCATTCTGAATCGGGTGGGGATGGGATAGAAATGGGAATGGAGAAATCTCTATCTCCATTGGTGGAAACAGGGCATGGAGGCTGCCCCATGGGGTCCCTGATCTTCACCCGTGGAGATTGTAAATAATTTTAAAAATATGTTTGAATATAATTAAGCTTATTTTTATATGATAGTAACTATTTTATTTTAAAAGGCTTTAAAAAAAAATAAAATGAATTTGATATCTCAAAAAAATGGCGGAGAGTGGAGATCCCTATGGGGGAAAATCCTGTGCCCATTGGTGGTGAGGATAGGACGCCCCCGTTGCCATTCCCTCTCTCTCTCTCTCTTTTACCTATCTATCTATCTATCTATCTATCTCTCTCTCTAAGCATTTACTTGATAATAGGTGCACCAATCATCCACGGATGCTGCATCATCCCTGTTAGTAACAGCCCTGAACGAAGGGCGGGATGTCATCATGGACGGCACTCTCTCCTGGGAACCCTTTGTGCACCAGACAATCGCCATGGCTAGGAACGTCTACCTCCGGCGCTACCGGATGGGGGTCGGATACAAGGTTGCCGAGGACGGGACTGTGACTGAGAACTACTGGGAAGAGGAAGAGGAGCAGAAACAGGCAAGGAAACCATACAGAATAGAGCTGGTGGGAGTGGTGTGTGATGCTTACTTGGCCGTTATGAGAGGCATCAGGAGAGCTATTATGACAAAGAGAGCTGTGAGGGTGAAGTCACAGTTGAAGTCCCACAAGCTGTTTGCTGAGGCATTTGAAAGATACTGTATGCTAGTTGATAATGCCAGGTTATATTGCACCAATTCTACAGGAGGCCCACCCAAGGTAAAATACCTTCCTTTCCATCCTTAATTTCATTCTTCTACAAATGGATTAGTTTAAGTTTAAGGGTAGTGATTTGGGCACATCCCACCATTTTTATAGAGGGACACATCATTAATTCGGCAAAAAATAACAAAAATGCTCTCATTATTTTACCTTTATTTATTACCAAATAATGGTTTTTATTGTCTTTTCACTAGGGATGTGGGTCGCCTACCAAATGAGTTGTGCCCATATCAGCCCCCTTAGGTTAATCTTGAACAATGTCTTAAACCATTTGGGTTGATTAGGGTTGGCATTATTGTTAGAGATATATTTTTCATTCCTCTCTTCTTCTTTTCTCATTCATACCATAGGCTATGTCTGTTAGACTCTGAAAATCTGATACCTGATACCTAATCCATTAAGCGATTTGTCTATTCAAATTTTGGATTTTAAAACTTGCTTTTATATATATATATATAGCCTAAAACCCTAAAACTCTTCAAAGGTTAGGCCGATATGGCCCATGACACGAGCCCAGGTGAGTTAATGCAGGGGCCGGGCTGGACAGGGCCATGAGAGGCATGATTTAAAAAAAATGAAAAAGTTAAATAAATTAAAAATGGATAAAAAAATTGAAAAAGAATCTGAAAATTTTATTCTATATGAATTTTGATGTATACAGTTATTTATATATGAAATTAAAAAATATAATATAATTAGAATAAAATAGTATAATAAATTGAAAATAAAAATTAGACAAATTTCTTAAACTATCCTTAAGGTTTAGGAAGTTGATTAACTATACCCCTACTGTTTCAGTTTTGTCTTAAAGTACCCCTACTGTTTCTGACAATCATCACCATCATTAAATCATAATGAAAAAAATAAAATGTTGAATTTGTCCTCTACTATTTCTCAAATTTTCGAAATAAAACCCAACTGCTGAAAAAATTTCTCCTGGCCACTATGCAACATCCCTTTCTTTTGCATCATCAGACCACAGTTCTGATTTGAATAAGGGCAGCCCAATATTGAATAATATCTTTTGTTTGCTCTGCTGTACAGATATAACTAGATAGAATTAGGCAAAGGCGATGGGATCTTATTCCAATGGTGATTTTGGAATAAGATCCCATCGTCTTTTAACAATGTGATTTTGGATTTTGTTGCCTTGTGTCTCTTCATCCTGTAAATTTCTTTACCTGAAACTATGTTGAATATGGAAGAGAACCCAATTCAAAAACACGATTCTTCTTCTAGTCATTCATCTCAATGACCTCTAGTGGTTTGCAAACTTATATCACTAAGTTTTCAGATGATTGCCGGACTTGCGGTATTGTCTATCTGTTTTAAGTGAGTCTTTTGGGTGAGGGCAAATGAAAGTGGTCACATGTAAGGGTGTCAATTGGATTGAATTTGATCCAATCCGATTCAGTCTAATGTGAGTCCATTATAAATGGATCAGGTCTAATCCAATCCAATGAATGTTTTGGATCAATTTGGACCGATCCAATTCAATGTTTGGACCAACCATTCTGTTCAATATCATTTTGATTTAGATTGACTTCAACCCAAACCTGGTCCATTGACACATATATTCTTATCTTACATCAATGGATTAGATATTGGCTTAATCCAACCCAATCCAATATAAATTTGTTACGGACGGACCAGGTCCAATCCAACCTAATAAATATTTTGGACCGGATTGGTTCAATCCAATATGTCTTGTTGGTCTGTCCAATCTGTCCAAATTGATTTTGGACTAGACGGGGTCCAATCCAAAACTGGTCCATTGACACCCTTAGGAGAGAGTGGAATTGGATGTAGACCCCTGCCTATCCATTATCGAGTTTAAGAGGGGCCCTGTTTTCCAGATCGTAGTCAGACTGAGGCACTGAAACGAATTGCCTCTCATTTGGTGGGTTGAAGAGAATGGAGGGTAATATTGAGTTTTGAAAATATTTATACATCATGTAGAGTCACATGTGTACAGATTTTGACAGAACATTAACACAAATTAACAACAAGGATAGAGCTAGTCAATTGTCAAAAACAATAAGAATACTTTAAAACAATAGTCAAACAACAGGGTAAAATTAGTCAATTAACTAAACCCTAGGGAATAGTTTTAAGTAATTTTCCCATAAAAAATTATACATATATAAAGTCATGTCAGGCTGCTGCGTGCCACGACCTATCAGGTTATGGGCCCGTTCCAGCATGGCCCAATTATTTGTATCAAATCGTGCCAACGTATGGGCCTCAAAACCTAAGCCCAAGACAGCCCGGGGTATGGGCTGGGCCGTGGCTTGGCCCAGTTGCTACAGTGACTGGGTGAAACCGCACTTGGTATGGCCCACTTTACAGGCTTACATCTCTAGGGGCCATGACCAATGAACCCTTTCCTTTCCCCCCTTTTCTACTGTTAAGACCAAGGAATTCTGTAAATGCTATTCTTAGTTGCAAAAATGAAAGTTATTCGAATTGACAATATTGACTGAGAGACTGATAAAACTGAGGTGGGTTCAGTTGATAGGATGGAAAGATGGAGACAACTGTTTGCTGGTTGATCCACAAGATATCCGCTGTTTGAAGGCAGTAAGCATGCTGAATGAAAACGCAGAGTCTATATATGAAGTTTACAATAAACAACAAGACCCAACTAGTAGTGAAGCAGCTAGTTCTGTTTGGAAAGACTTTGTTCTGTCACCTACAAGAAGAAGCATTCAGGAGGAACTAAAGATTTCCATCAAGATGGCCGAAGAGCAGGTTTAAGAAGAAATAAATGGGGCATCGTCAGACTCATCATGATCCATGTCCCAAGAGAAAGTTGTGTGAGGGAGTGAGCACTTGCTTCAGCTTGAATGTGAATTTTGTTCTTGTAAAGCTCAATAAATCATGCCAATACTTCTGCAGAAGGCGCATTCATCAATGGAATATATTGTGGTCTTTGAGACTGTTTTTAGTTTGTATTACCATATATTAATAAAATTTAAGCTATCATGATTTGAAATGTAAGCTGCGTTTGAAAATCATGCAAATGGAGTGTAAATCCTGATTTAGGGTAAATTTGCACTTTGGTTGACTTTGCATTGTGTTTGGCAACATTACATTTATGCATTGACAAATGACATACTAATGCATATTTATATTGATAATAAGATGTAAAAGTACATCACATCAATAAAAAAGAAGTAAATTTGCATTTAAGTGGGCTTTTGATTAAAAAAAAAAAAACATATGCTTTATTGGACGTTTGCATCTATTACAGCTAAAAGTCTGTTTGGTAAGAAGGTAAATTTATCGGTGCAAAACTAACCCAATTTTACAATTTATATGAACCGTTTTACACTCTACATATTTGTACCATTTCCAAATGCAGCTGTAAGAATTAATTCAGTGTTTTTCAGAGTGAGCTTGTACCTCTTCACCTTCAATTTGGAGATTTTTCAGTGTTAGTTTAGCTTGTTTCTCCAAGCTGTGCCAACGATTGCACGGTAGGGCACCCAATAGTATAATGCAATAAAGTCATCAAGATCCATACAAAAGTTTTTGTGCCAGGTTCCAATCTAACTTTCCCTCCTCCTTTATCTGGGCTTGGGTTTGGGACCAACAGCATAAGACAAAGCTCACATTTAAGGCTCCATTCGTTTTCGTTTTCAGTTCAAATCTGAACTGAATACAAATTTTGTACCTGATTCAGCTTTGCATCCATATGTTTGTAGCTATGATTTGCATTCTTACCTCATATAAAATTTGTATTTTTTGTCTCATTTGCACTCATTGTCAATGTAAAATTTTTGCATGATATAAATTTGCACCACCTCTCTCTCTCTCTCTCTCGTATTGCACCACCTTCCTCCTACATCATATTGCTTTCAACCTCACTCCTAAACAAATAACCCTTCTCCTACTTCCAGACCATACCATTTTACTTTACAAACAAATAAGACAAGGTCAAATTTGAAGCTAAAATAAACCAGAATTTACACTCAACTTATATATTGTAATCACATACATATACACCGATGCAAATGAAATTCACATTGCAAACAAACAAAAGCCTAAAAGAAAAACAAGAATTTATAATTCAATGATATATGAAAAATAGGGATTAATTTATCATGTATATACCAAAAAGGTATGATTTTAATTCCCGATGCCAACTAGTATCATCATCATCATCCAAGCCTTAACCCAACTATATGGGATCAGCTACATGAATCCTGTTTTACCATTCCATTCTATTTAAAGACATCTATTATTAAATTATGAGTACTTCCATCATTTTATTTTAACGCATTCCCATTTTGGTCTTTGTATCCATAGCCCTACTAGCCCCTTTAACTTGCAACAGATTGCTTCTATTTATGAGGAAACCTTTGCACTAATTTTCCTTATTCTAAAATTATGCTCATTAAGTCTTAAAGTCTAGTAATTTTGTTTTATTTAAATATTGTATCAATTAAGAACAAAAGAAAAGAAAATATTGTTTCTTTACATACTTTCTCCGTTATTGCAAATAAAATTAGATTTTAGAATTATGTTGTTACAAACCAACTAGATAAATGATTAATTAAATAAAATAAATATGAAAAAAGAAAATATGTTTTTGTCTTTGTTAAAGAATGCAAAAACAAAGTACAAAATAAAGCAAAAAAAAAAAAAAAAAACCTACTTTATCTGAAACCCAAGTTACAAGTAGTGAGGCCAAGGTTGAATATAATGAGAATTTAGTGGGTGACTGCGTGCATGCAAGTTCCCATTGTAGTTAAATTTTTGCAAGATTTTGTTCCACATTCCCTCAATCAAAATTGAAAGTGTTCATAAATAGTTATACTTTGTTAAGAATGCAACTTTAAAACATTACACTCATAAATAGTTATATATATTTGAAAAAAAAATATTTTTTTTATATAAATTAATAAAATGCATGCATGGGTTAGCAGGTCGGGATCAAGCAACGTACTCAAGTCCCACACAAGCCTAAGCCCAGCTCACAGCCCAAAAACTCACGACCATGCAAACTCAGTTCTTGGCCCACCCAAGTTTATAGCCGGTAGCCCTAGTCTTGCTGCACAATAAAATCCTTTAAAATAACTTAATCTTGAAAAAGTGATTTTAATAGATGTTTCTTTTACACTGATCATTTTAAGTTCAAAAAAAAAGGAATTACTTAAATATACCTTGAGCAAATATGTTAAGGCTCCGATTGTTTGTGATACAAACACCGAACCAGGGTATTTATGTATCTCGGTTTGTGTTTGCAAGCGTTTGTTTGATATGTAAAAAAGTAATGATTATCATATAAAAATGTATTTTCTGATACTTTATGTACTTTGAAAAGAGATAGTCGGAGTATGATGGGCCCACATTTTGCACCGATTTCAAACAAACAACATAAGTGCAAAAACAGTTTAAAATGTGAGCCATGTTTGCATTCATGAACCAAAAAAAGGATAAATATGCAATGTACATATTTGTGTTTACATTGCAACCAAACACAGCCTAAAGGGCATATCATCGGAGTAGGTCATCTCTGCTTTGATTTAAATAAGAGATTAGATTCTATACCCATTTAATCATCTCCTTACTCATTTCCTTGACACAAACAGCTCCATTTTGAGTTGTTTTGGGTAGGGATGTCCACGGTTCGGTTAACCATGGGCAAATTTTGCAAACCAAACCAATACCATCGGTTTTTTCATTTCGACTATGGTAGGCTTGCATCAGGGTTCAGGGCTCATGGAAAAGTAGTCAAACTCCAAACCCAAGCCAACCAAAGTTGGGGCCATATTTGGGTTTTAATATCAGTTTAGGTTTAAGATAGGGTCCATATTTAGGGCTGGTCTTGAGACTTTGGCCCTTGACGAAACCCATCTATTACATGTCTGCCCTTTACTTTATTAGAAAGAACCGAAGGGGGTTAAAAGAGATTTAAGAATAAAAGATGGACTTAGTGGGGGAAGAATAAAGATGTTACAAACATTAAGTATTGAATATTGAAGAGAGAGAAAATGAGTTTTAAGAATGATCTTATTATAGATTAATGATGCATTTTAATGGACACAATTAAAACCTAAGAGATTTAATTTTAATAAAGACAAATAAAACACAATAAACAATTGTTGCATCACACATCATGCCCATACTATTTTTTTTCCAATTTCCGATGCATAAACACAATGGACACACAGTAAAGGATGATCAATGGCATGTTTTAAAAAAATTAGCAAATGGGTACTTTTAACCATAAAGAGCAAATTAGGGTTTTAATTAAAAGAATTTAATTGTCATGTGACATGATATCGTGTACAAACAGTCCAAACATTTCACCAAGTGAGGACCTCATGGTCATTGCTTCATAGGGTATATTTAAATAGGGATTTTTTTTAGTTCTAACAATCTTTGAATTTTGTTAAAAAAAAAAAAACACTATAGACCCTAAAGATTGAAAATGGCCAATTTCACTCTCAAACTATGATGGAAATGTCACGTTAAGCCAAAAAGGGACTGTTAGAGATGTCATGAAGGGTTCTTTTAGACAATGAATAAAATATAATGAAGACATGGCATTGAATAATAACTCTAATACAAAACTAATCGGCCCTTCAAAATCAGCACCAAATTAACTCAAAGACGATTTCTCAAAATCAGCTTATATGGCAAAAATGATACCAAATAATAAATTTTACCGATTTTAAAAAAAAAAAAAACATTGATTTCAAAAATCACTAATTTTTGAAGTGTTTTTTGAAAAAACATTAAGGAATAATCATCATCAATGCCAAACATTACTTTAATGTCGTCTTTCTATCATAGTTCGAGGCCAAAAATGGCTTTTTCAATTTTTAGGGTCTAAGGTAGCTTTTTTTTTACAAAGTTCATGAGCCAAAAATCTATTTAATGAAGTGACTCAAACTCAAGTCTCCCAACGCATTTACATCTCATTACAATTCCAAACCACTATGCCACGTTTCATTTTGTGATTAAAAGTGAAATAAAATAGATTTTATTAACTTTCGTATTTACATGCAATTTTACACGAAAGCACTTTTACAAAAAGCAATTTTATAAAGTAATTTTATGAAAAGGACTTTTACGAAATCACTTTTACACGAAAGCACTTTTACAAAATTACTTTTATGAAATCACTTTTGTGGAAGTACTTTTGTAAAAGTACTTTTACGAAAACACTTTTATAAAAGTTAAGCATTTTTTTTCATTTTCTATTTTTGTAACGTTTTGGTACTTTCTGCATTTTTTTCAATTTTCTGATATTTTTCTACATTTTCTAAAATTATTTGGTATTTTTTTGCATTTTCTACAATTTTTCTGCTATTTTCTACATTCTCTATATTTTTATGCATTGTTTTGCAAATTTTTGGTATTTTTCTATATTTTTTGAATTTTTCTAGTACTTTTGCATTTTCTACAATTTTTTGTGCTTTTCTACATACTTTTTGCATTTTTCTAGTGTTTTTCATGCATTTCCTACATTGTTTTTGAATTTTTTGCATGTTTTCTATTTTTTCTACAAAATTTCTGAATTTTCTGTAATTTTTTGGTATTCTTTCTGCATTTTTTGAAAATTTCTGGTATTTTTTGTTTTTTAATTTTCTACATTTTTTTGGTATTTTTTTGCATTTTTAGGTATACGGGTTGACTTGACTCGTTTTGTCACGTGGTAGTCTTGAGAGAGACGGTTCTCTCAAAAATGTTTTTTTTTTTTTTTCAAATATACAGGTCAACCCAACCTGTTTCTATCATGTGGTAGTCGTAAGAGATGATTTTCTAAAAAATGTTTTTTTTTTTTCGAGTATACGCGTTGATCCAGCCCAGTTCTTTCACGTGGCATCCTTGAGAGAGATTTTTCTCTCAAAAATTATTATTTTGGGTATATAGGCCATCCCGACCCATTTTTGTATTTATAGGTGAGGGTAGGTGGGTTAGTACAGGTGAGGGTGGTTAAGGGTCAATATGGGTGAGTCAGGGTTAAGGTGGGTTTATGGTTCAAAGTATCGATATGATATGCCCCATACGAGGCGTATCGTATCGTATCTTTTGAAAAAGATACAGTCGAACCCCCAATTTTTTTAATAATAAAAAATATCTTATAAGCTTCCCAAAAAACTAAACTTTGAAAAAAAAACTAAAAAAAAATAGTATGTATCGGCCGTTTCTAAGTACCGATACAATACGACCAAAATTCGTATCGTATCAATACTTAAAACCTTGGGTGGGTTATGACCCTTTAACAAGGATTGATGATTAATCTTGGTGGGTCAATAATTAATATGAGTGGGTTGGTATTCAACCCTTACCCAATCCAATCCAACCCAACTCACCCATTTGCCACTCCTACCTAGGACCAAATGAAACTGAACTTGAATCAGCCTTGAACCGATCCTACCTATTCTGTTATAGGGTAGGGTCTAATTCTAAGGTTTAGGGATTTACCCTATCCGAACTAACCCTGATTAGACTTGGTGGAACCTGCCTTAGCACCGGACTTGCCTTGAAATAGACCCAAAATACTTTTGAGGACGTGAACTTTCCGTAATCATTGAATTATTAAGGTTATGTTTGGTTTGAAGGAAAAGGCAGGGAAAAAAAGGGAAAGACAAAGAAATCTATGCAAGGTTAGTATAGGCTTCCCTGTCTTTCGCTTCCTTATATTTATAAAATTTAAATTTAAATTATACCTTTTGTAACGTATAATGATAATTAATAAGATAATATATGTTTATTGAAAATTAAATTTTTAAAGAACATGCTTTTTTTTTCTTTATTTTAAAGGGAGAAATAAAGAAACAACAAATTCCCGAAAAACTTGGAGGTTGATTCCAAGTTCTACTATAGAACTAACTTGACTCGACCCATGCTCATCCCTAACCAAGGATTTTTCTAACATTCACGAAATGTTTGGAGGACTTTTATGTTATATTAGGAACCAATAGGATCCGCTTAGCAAAATAAAAATGTAACATCACGATCTTCCATCCGGTCCGAGTCACTATATATACTCAAGCTCACGTCTTTCTCCAACCCTAGCCGTGACAGAGGGAGAGAATTTGCTGCTAAGGGTTTTAGGGTTTTTTTGGTTCTTCATCGTCAGTCATGGTAAGTTCAAGGTTGATTCTATTTCCACTTCTCACTCTCACACACAATCTAACGTTAACACTAAGCCATTTTGCATTCGTTTTAGCAGGCGGATCCCGAAATAGATGTTGCTCCAGGGCAGCCGAAGAAGAGAACTTTTAAGAAGTTCAGCTTCCGAGGGGTCGATTTGGATGCTTTGCTCGACATGTCAACTGATGAACTTGTGAAGCTCTTCCATGCTAGGGCTCGCAGAAGGCAAGTCTACATATCTGTATTATGCCCTTCATTTGTTTTGTGAATTGGTTTTCCATGGCTCATTTATGCGCCTCGTTTGGTTCTCTTGGCAGGTTTCAACGAGGTCTGAAGAGGAAGCCGATGGCTTTGATCAAGAAACTGCGTAAGGCGGTAAGTTTTTTAATTTATTATCACTCCTAATCTCCACTCATTTTGCATAATTCCGAGTGTCAATTAGTAGAAAACAATCCTTCCTGGATTTTGTTCGATGTTAGAAGTGTTTTAGGTGGTATAAATGTATATCATGATCCAGCGATGTGATTTACATTGTTTTGCTTGAATACTACGAGCTAGATTACCTACTTGCTTGAAATAACAATGCATATGAATTTGACAGCTCTTTCCAAGTCATTTCCATTGTATGAAAATTTTATGCTGATCAGGGTTGTAGGTTTGTTTACAAACATGCCCCTCTGATTAGCCATTTCCAGCATTAGGTTATAAGAAATCCTTTATTCCTCACCCCACCCCTCATAGATCTCAGTTTGTAGTTCATTCAATACATACTACCCTAGAGAACCATTGGGGGGGGGGTGCCTACCTTGGTTGTCACAAGTTAAACTGCTACAAAGGCGTAAATCCTTGGGAGTTCGGGGCTGAATAAAATTTAGCTTCCTTCCTACAGTGTTGTTTTACTTATGGGCATTATGAAATTTCAAATGTGGCTTGGTCAGATGGGATGTTTTTATTCTGTGAGTGATTTTAATATCGTATCAGTACCTCTCTTTTATTGAACCAAGTCTATTGGCTGAAAGAACGATGATGTCACTCAGAAATATCATAGTACTTACTGAAGTATAAATTATCGAATTTCTTGGCTTTCTAAAATTGTGTATATTTTGGTTGACATTCTTTTGGGCTTGGATTTGCATCAATTATTGTTTGTCAATTGGAGAGATATTTGCCTGTTGCCTTGTTATGGTTTTTAAATTTTTGAACTTGTGGTCTTTTAAAAGATGTAGAATGGGTACCACTGTTTTGAAGATAACTCTTACAAAAAATTGTACAAGATGAAGTTTGATATGTTAATAGAAATTGATGGCCTTGGGTTGGCTGGTTCATGCCTTGCAAACTCATCAAATATAGCACTAGAAGGAATGAAGAGGGAATTTCCAGATCATTATTGGTTTCTTGTTGGGTAGATCTTGACAGATTTGAAATTTTATTAGAGTTATTGTCATAATCTTGTAGTGTTCATGCATGTGAGATTTTCCTAAATCTCTACATACTATACATTTCAAGATGATGCTTCATTAATGAGTAATGGAGGGGCAGGTGGTATGGTCTGAACTTTCAGAATTGTAATTTCTGGAAGTTCTTATGGATCTTGGAAGCCTGAACTGCAAAGTTTTGCTAGATGACTTTTGAGGGTTTTACCTCATTTTTTTTCTACAGTGTGTTGAGGAAAGATATAGGGGGGTAATTAGTCCTATGGAAGGTGGAAGTTTTCTTTGGTGGGCCAGATACTTTGAGGAAGAATCTACTAATGGCTGGTTTGGTTCACGGGAGTAGGGGTCTGGAATTGGAATCAGAATATTCTGATTCCAACTGTTTGGTTGGGCAGATTAGAGTGTATCTAATACATACAAAGAACTTACACAAGGTTGGGCCATCAAAATAGGAAATCTAGTGTTCTTTATGTCTCTTTACTTATGAACATCATACCTTATTTGTAGTAATTTGGTGTACTCTTCCAACTTCACATCCGAGACTCCAATTTTGATAAAATGATCAAGATAAATAATTCTATTAGCCTAAACTCAGAAAAGCTGTGAAGGAAAAAAGAACACTGAAGTAAGATCTTGATCACTTTGGAGATGGGACTGTCCCACATTTTCTACTGAACTTCACTCTAGTGGAGTTCGTTACTGTCTTTGCAGACATCTCCAAAATCAAACTATGGGTTTATTCAGCATGGTATCCACTTTTTTTTTTAAATGAGCTTGGAAATGTTTTGGGAGGTTTTCTGGTGGATCCACACCCAGCACAATTACTTGTGTCCAAGAGGATTGAAGTAACTAAATGCCTGAAATCTCCTACTAGAAAATTCAATCTAGATAATAGTGTGCCAAAAAAAAAGATAATGCGTAGTGTAGTCAATGCAGTGCAGCAATGACTGTTCGTTTTGGCATTTCTTGTTATGTGTAATTACTAGTTGGTGCCTAGGTGCTGACTGGTTATTTTGCAGAAAAAAGAATGATATTGAACATTTAGTTTACAAGCTTATTTTGCAAACAAATTAAAGTTAGGCTGGATAGGCTAAGTTTGGGAATCACCTAAAAAAGTGACCTTGAGTATCGGCTTCTTTGTGGAAACTCCTTGCCAACAGACCAACAATTGGAAGAAAAATGAACTCCGCTGCCTGCTTTTATTTTATTCCTTCTATCTATTTTATATATCATCATATGATCATGATATTATTGCAAACAAACAAATAAAGGTTTAAAGTGGCACTGTGATAGATCTATTAATGCTCAGTCCTCCAGGGCGATCTCATCATGAGTATTGATTTACTAGTTAGTGATTCAATGGTTTGGCCCTTAATTTTCTATTTCATGTCTACCATTTGATGTATTCATACCGAAATTATGTGGTCTTTGTCATTCTTCCTGTTATACCATGTGTTCGAACAGAAAGTTCTTGAATCACTAGAAAGCTACAATGGAACATTTTCTTTTTTTTTTTTATACTGACTGATACCAATCTAGCAACTTCATGGTAGGTCAACTTTTGCGAAGTATATTTTATACTGTTTGGGATTGACCTGAATTTTGTATTATGTAATCCATTCCTAATGGAAAAAGAAAGGATATACATGTCATACTCTTATAATTTGTTATACGTTGCTGACTTGAAACAGAAACGGGAGGCTCCACCTGGTGAGAAGCCAGAGCCAGTTAGAACTCACCTTCGGAACATGATCATAGTACCAGAAATGATTGGAAGCATCATTGGGGTTTATAATGGAAAGACCTTCAACCAGGTCGAAATCAAGCCCGAAATGATTGGTCATTACCTAGCCGAGTTCTCTATCTCTTACAAGCCAGTTAAACATGGTAGGCCAGGTATTGGTGCTACCCATTCGTCAAGGTTCATTCCTCTCAAGTGAGATCTTCGTTCAAACTGGGTACCCGGGGAATTGTTGTGGCAAGAGTGGTTCTGGTGCAATGTTGCTGCGTATCAATTAAATTTTGGATTTTTAGTTATTTCGTTTTCGAATTCCTACTCTTAGTTCAACTCCTGTTTGTTTTTTTGGTGGTTCAATCTCCACTTGGATATATATTTGGAAGCTTTGCTTAATCAAAGTATGAAACTGAACTATGATTTTTTTTATCAGCAATAGGAAAGTTTTTGTTGAGGAAATATTTCTACTTTTAGGTAGCCTCGCCTACCCCAAAACAAACGTGACAAAAAAACAGCCAAGAAAAGAAAAAAAGAATCAAACTACATTGCATTTCTACAAGGAAAAAATTGCTGGTAATTCTGCACATTTTAGGTGGTGAAATCCAGTCCTGATGTTGCAATTGTGTATGAAACTGTGAATTTGTGAGTTTGGGGTGTTTGACTAAAGTTCGATCAATTTTTTGGATGGGGGGCCAGCTCTACCCCTCGCCTTTCTTTTAGATCCTTTCTTCCATTATACCAAAAAAACATCGATCAAACGTTTTCTACGCCGTTTCTGTCTTGCTAAGGCCAAAAAATGAAAAACCAAAAGCGAAAAAGTGATCCATCCAATGGCTAGTTTAAGGGTCTGTTCGTTTGCTCAGAAGTCGCGCATTTTAAAATGTAATAATTATTATTGGAAAATAAAAAATTATATGATTACAATTTAAGACGAAATAAAAGTTGTATGAAATAAAAGTTAAGACGAAATGAGCCTTAACTTATTTTTTAGACATGAACAAAAATCACTTCTCATCAGATGGCCTTGGATTTTATTCATTCGAGTGTTACGAAGCATTCATTTTCTGGCGTTGCTCTGAACACTCGGAGACCTCAACATCAAAATGATGAGTATGTAATTACAAATAAGTTATTTGGCTTAAGTTCAAAATTAAATCCATTAATTTTCTGGTAAGCCACTTGGGTAATTGCACTTGCATGCATGGTTTTAAAAAATGACCTGGAAATGGAATCGATTTGGCCACCAGTTTTCAGGTTGATAGTTTGAATGTCCAGTTCAAATGGATGTTAATAATGAAACAAAATTTAAAATAAATAAATAATTAAAAGTAAAAAACGGTCAAAAAATTGTTGAACGGGTCAATTAGGGGTGCTCGCTGTTTGATTAACCAAACCATGGGTTTTTTTTTTAATCAAACTGACTTGATTGGTTTTTTAAAAATCTCAACTGAAACCAAATCGAAATTTGGTTTTTTAATGTAATTATTGCACAAGGTTCACCTGTACCAATTTGGTTAATCATCGGTTTTTGTACAAGGTTTATCGAAACCAAACCAGTCGGTTTGACTTTCCGGTTTTTTTGCTCTCTTAGGGTTAATGGTTTGACCACCCAGGTCAATGGATCATTGATTGATTCAACGTTTTTTTACCACAGATCGAGTTTGGTGTAAAATGGAACCGGTTGCCTGAACAGTTTCTGGGCCGAATAGTCGGACCATCCAAATCAATAGGGGTTCAAAAACCATGCTTACCTAATAAAAAATGCATTTACTTGTTTTTTTAATGAAAAATGATAATTAGTTAAATTTTTTTAACCATTTTACCTAAAATGCAATTATTAAAAAGGAACAATTTTGTTTCATAATATTGTCAATTTTTTCCTTTATTGGTAAGTGTTAACTTTTTCCATAGCAATTACTTATCCACCTAAATGATAGGGTATATCACTTGCCTGATATATCCATTTGGTGGTATATGGGAATGTTACCATTGACCAACTCCCCCCTCCATTTATGCCTTAAATGCAAGAGTGAACCCAGGAAATGGACCATTTATAAGCAGAACAATGCCCTACCATTTAATACAATTAAATGCACGGCCCCGTTTGAGAGAGTTGAACTGAAGATTTAATTAAGCTGATTCAGCTGCTTAAGAGGTAGAAGCAAGCAGCCCTTCAAATGACTGACAGACGGTCAATTCGGGCACTGAATTTTTCACCAAACATATAGCTTATAGGATGTTTGTGTGGGGCCAACCTCTTTAAGCCCGAACTTCATCTCTCCTACACGAGCACACATACATCCCCATCCAAGTACATTTTTGTTGGTTTACAAGTCGGGACGTAGGGCCTAAGCCACTTCAGGGTAAACTTTTTCCTTTTTTGGGTGAAAACTCGAGCCTTCAGATTTTAGTAACGCATGAAATAGAGAAGTGATGCATTTCATTTATAAAGTGGCCATATATAAGTAAGAGTGTCGATGGACTGGTTTTGGATTGGACCCCGTCCAGTCCAAAATCAATTTGGATGGATTGGACGGACCAACAAGATATATTGGATTAGATCAATCCAGTCCAAAATATTTATTATATTGGATTAGATCTGATCCATTCGTAATAAATTTATATTGAATTTATTGAATTAAATCAAGGTTCAAAATATTGATACGTCCAATACGCCAATAAAGGCATATCGGGCATTATTGGTAGTTTTTTTTTTAAATCCAGTTTAAAGGGGCCAATTTAAGGACCATCGACCCCTTTAATCGGTCAAAACCCCAATATACTCGGGACATATCAGGAAGTTCCAATATGATACGTATCGACCAATACGGACCAATACTTTGAACCTTAGATTGAATTAAGCCAATATCTAATCCATTGATATAAGATAAGAATGTACTAATGGACTGTGTTTGGGTTGAAACCAATCTATATCAAAACAAATTTGAACAGATTGGAACGGTCCAGAAATTGAATTAGACCAGTCCAAAATGGTCCAAGATATTCATTGGGACTGGATCGGATTAGACCAAATCCAGTCCAATTGACACCCATGTATAGAGCTTTGTCCGTTTGTCTACAATGTTACAGAGTTCTGAGTTGTCATTATTCTATCTCAATTGTGTTGCTTGTACACGCATTTCTCAGAATATGTATTGGAATCTGCAAAAATTTGAACTATAAATGGTTTAGGAAGTTCTATTCATGATCTTCTTTCCAATTTCCGTTCACTAGATCTTTTCTCCTCAGCCTCTTTTCGCCTTTGTTGCCTGCCAATGAAATAGGACACCGGATTACACACACATCCAGTCACAACCATCACCTAGGTTTAACCAGTTCATCAACCAAGAAAAGATCAAATGAAATAATTCTTGTGAGATTTCCCATTTTTATCTTTAGAAAGGCTAGTTTCATGCTTTACCATAGAGTTATTTTGTCATACACATGATAATAGTGAATCTATTTTTTTTGGGTGACAATACCATAGTGGTTCATGGTAAACTAGTAGCCCGCTTACTTGGTTTTCTGCTCAGCCTGACTTTAGGTAGTTAATAACAAGTTCATCAACCAATTGAAAAAGCTGAGCAATCCGAATGAATCAAATGTAAAAAGTTAATCTGTGTAAGACATCCACTTTTTATTTCCACCAATGCCAGTTTCATGATCTCTTAAGTGCAATTAAATGACAAAATTCATAGCCTGCTGATTTGGGTTTTCACTAACATAAAATGTTGACAACACTAGGAAGGATAACTGGCAGAAATGCAAGGTGCCAACCAGTGGGTTAGTAAGGTCTCCTACTGGTCATAGTGGAGACTTGGGATCGAATCCCGCCTGCACCTGGGTTAGGAAGGTATGGATTGGGAGATGGGCTACGCCCCCACCATTGTGTAGCCCTTCAAAAAGATATCAAAAGAATAATAATAATAATTTGCAGAATCTCATACAACTGCTGGACGGTAACCAACTAGATGTGGTCCTTACATCTACACAAATGTAGGATTTTGAGTTATATCCAAATCAAGGCTGCTTGTGCCCTCCTAATGCACACTCGATATCCTATTTGTCATGGCCCTGTTGTCTTTGCCTGAACAATGTAATCTATAGCTTGGGATGTTTCAATAAGCCTTCAGCTTTGCATGTAAATATGACTAATTACTAATGCATTGAGTTAGTCATAGCAATTTATTCTTCATATTGCATCCCCCAACTGTTGTTAAATGGATGCTTAGACTGTTAACTCTTGGTTATATGCTTTCCTCCACTTTGTTAGTAACACTATGAAAATTCTTTTCATTCTCAGACATGGCATGAAGAGCATATCAAAATCCCAAACTGAACACTACTCTACCTATGCCTCCAAAGTCTGAATGCACCATTAACCAATCAAATATAAAAGAGAAAATGTCAGAACAAACTCTTCTCTCTTCTTGTTTTCAAAAATTCTCCTATATCTCTCTTTCTAATCATTCCCTTTGCCAATCAATATCTTTTATTTTGAAGTATAACACTAAAGTTTTATTAATATCAGGATAAAGGAACAGTACATAAATTGCGTGCAAAGCACTCCAACTGGGTAGCTACCGTCAGCTAAAAGGCTACTTCTAATTTCTTTTACAAGTTACCCACTTGGAGAATTTAGAATTGTCAATGAGTTGGGTCTGGTCTGGGACAGGGTGGATCCAGTACCAATCTAGACCCTATAGGGTCTGTAATTGGGCCTATCGGGTCTAACCAATGAGGCCTGAACATAATGATATATTTTTTTAAGATAAATAAAAAAGAAAATTTATTAAAAGCAGGACAATATACATCACCATGTGATGAGAGGTCACCCAAAACAAAAGAGAGAAAACAAAACAAGAAAACAACCCAGAATCATAAAAAAAGAAAATTTTTAAAATATGCATCCCCCCCTTTCCCCTCCCCTCTCCCTCAAACTCCTTATTCACAGACCTTATCATCCCTTCCCTTCCCTTCTCCAATTCCATGAAAGCTTTTCTTGCAAACTCTTCCAACCCAAGAAGAAAAGCCCCATAATTTTACTTGCTCACACTTCCACCTCAACAACTTCCGTCCAAATTTTCTCTCAACCTCTCTTGATCAACAATTTGATTGTCACCACTGTCCTGCAGCTCCAAACTTCCTCCTAATCTGAACCATTCTTATCATTACCTGGTCCTGAATCCCTAGGTTGTATTTCATTAGGAACAGAATCCCCCAATAAGAGAGCTTAGACTGGGGGTATCTTTGTAATATACTAATATACATGTATAATTACGCATGTAGTCAGTTTGGGTCTTAGTCAGATCGGAACAACCAAAACCAGGTCCAAGTCCCAACCCAATTATAATTGGGGCACATAATGTAGACCCAGACCCAATAAAATTGAGTTGGTTTGATTCTCCCCAATTCATTCACAGCCCTAGGGGATTTAAACCCCAAAAGAACTGATCTGTATTTATCCCTTGTTTTACTAGACCACCCACAATGCTGTTAGGTGTCCATTTGTAACTTGTTCTCAGCTCCAAAGCCTATTGATCTCCCTAAATGTGTCTATGTTCCCACGAGTCAATAGCCTCTTTTTAGCCAACCTTTTTTCTTTTCTTTTCTTTTTTTGATAAGCAAGTGTAAATGTATTTCAGTCGATGAAAAGGAGGGAAAGACACCCTCGAGATCATGTATAAAAAGGTCTTTTACAGGCATATCTTTGACCTCCAAGGTCCTGGTTTCTTTGGTCTGCATTCCCAATGCCACCTGGCCCACCTCACCAATGAAAATCATATCACACCTCCATCCCACAGGAATATCTTGCCGAATGTTTTCAATTTCTCAGCAATGATGCCTATATATTAGGGATAGATTGTACATAGGTATGCTTGCAAGAACACTTCTAAATTTCTTGTCATGAACCATACAAAAGGCAAAATCTGTTGGGATAGATATTTCTTGGGTTTCTTTGATACTTAAAAGATCTAATTTGGACCATTTTTCAGGCAATTCACTACCAAATCATCCAACATATCAGAGGTTGCAGACTTGCAGTTTTGGGTCATCAGTCATTAATTGCATTTCAATGGAAGATTCTTTAAACACTCATTTCATTGCAATAAGCATTTCTTAGTATGTAGTGTACATATACAGAGATAAGATTGGAACAAACAAAATGTTCTACATGTATTGCTAGTTGGGCCCAGTAGAGGTTTCACCTGCAGAAACCAAATTATCAGCTGATTGATGTGCATCTGCAATATAGTGCTCATCTAGCAGCACATAAAAAAGATACTAGTAATACTAAACTAAGAAGGTTGGTGAAACTGAATACTAACAAAACAGAGATGCCTAACCACAAAGCTATTAAAGCAACAGCAATTATATTCCACAATTTAGAAACCCATAAACCAACCATATCCCTAAGAACTTCATAATTTAGGATTTAAGGGATCAACCAACTCATTCAGTCAGAACTGACCTAGATCTTGAACCATGTACATGAAGAAATTCATATAAGTAAAGAGAGTGCAGAAATGACATTGCAAAAGTAAAGAAACTTACGCAAAAGCAGTATATCCAGCACCCACGTTAGCAGCAGATAACAGTGCTGCATGTGCCCCAACTGTGGACACAGAATCTGGTCTTCTATCACCATCAACCTAGAACCAGGTAAACATATTAGAATGTTATGAGGTATTTATTTCCATTTTATCTTACAAGGGAAAAAATTCATGTGTTACTTTTCTTCCACATAGGTAAACACCTTATCCCACTTTGATTTCTTATTCTGCCTGCCATCTTTTGTCATGCCATCTGAAGCTGGTGGAAGCGAGTGCAATCCACTAGCCGGAACAGTTGAAACACCTGAAAATGATGGTTATTATTTTCTAAGGGAAAACATACCCATTTAATAATTAATACAACAGATAAACATCATCCCTTTCTTTGGAGGGCTTGAGGGAAGAAGAAAAAACTTAGGAAACCAATTTGCATCCACTCTACAGATTTTTCCCTTTGGAGGGGGGGGTCTAAACCTGGAATAATGCTGATCTTTTGTGCTGCAGCAACTGTACCAGGTAGTGTGCCTCCAGCAATAAAATCACCCTTTGGACTCTTCTTCCTCTCTTGTTCCTTCCTCTCCATTTCACGTTTCATATCAGCCTCTGTTTACAAAACAGGAGAATGGTCAGGTGGAATTATTTTTGACATATTTGTGCAAAAGACATGCATGCCGAATGCAATAATTTGAAGCTACTATTGTGATTTTGCTCCAATTTTTCCTGTCAGATACCGGGAATGCAATCAAGAGACACTTTAATAATACAAGACTAGTAGGATATGCCATACCCAGCTGATAAAAAAATAAATAAATGTACTGTAGGTGGGACAAATGGACTGTCATCCTGGAGAAGGTAATTTTAGGGTTGGGATATATGTATTGTAGGTGGGATAAATCTTTAAGTGCAGAAATGAGTAAGATGAGTAAAAAGTAGACTAGAGAGAAGTAAGCAGAGGATAATATGCTATAATAAAAATAAAACGACAGCAAGAACAAAGAAATAGAGAAGGGATAAAGTGGATATATTGAGAGAAGAAACAACTTCCCAAATACATTATTTATTCAATCCTTTCACTATACTGTTTTTTAAATAGGACTGCACTTTTTATAGACTTAGAAGAAATCCCTATTGCTTACAGAAATACTCCCAGACAAGCTAAAATAACTCCAAAAATAAGCCTAATTTAAATCCTAACTTACACACACATGCACACTAAAAAAACAAGACTAGAAATAATAGCAAGTCAGTAGCTCTCACTTCTTTCTCCTGAGAAAAGGCAAGGGAATGATCTAGATCCTCACAACACACACACACACACACACACTAAAAAAACAAGATTAGAAATAGTAGCAAGTCTGTAGCTCCCGCTTCTTTCTCCTAAGAAAAGGCAAGGGAATGTGAGGTTCATCAGGAATCTGAAATTAGTGATTCAACTTTTTGAGCAAATGTCAAACTTAAAAGTGAACTTCGGGAAAAGTTGTGTTGTGGGTGTGAATATGGAGGAGGGAGAGGTTAGGGAGAATGCAGAAGTGATTGGGTGTGAAGTCTCAGGTTGGCCATTGAGTTACTTAGGTTTGCCCCTAGGTGACAATCCCAAGAGAGAGTTTTTGGAGCCCGGTGGTGGAGAGGTTTGAAAAAAGGCTTGCTTCTTGGCAAAAGAATTCTCTCTCCCTTGATGGAAGGACCACACTGATCAAGGCCACGCTTGCAAACTTACCTATCTATTTCCTTTTAGTGTTCAAAATTCCAATAAAGGTTTCCAATAGGTTGGAGAGATTAATGAGAGATTTCCTTTGGGAGCCGGGAGAGGAGAAGAGGGACCATAGAGTTAGCTGGAAAATGGTGACCAAGAGCAAAGCTTGTGGAGGTTTGGGGCTTGGGAATATTGGGAAAAGGAACTTGGCCCTCTTGGGAAAGTGGTTGTGGAGGTTTCCTTTGGAGTAGGAGAAGTTATGGACTAGAGTAGTGGAAAGCATACATGGGATGGAGCAGAATGGATGGGATGCTGGAATCAGAGCAAGGACCACAAGCAACTCACCTTGGAAAGCCATTCATGATTTGCTTCCAGTCTTTTCCCCACTGGTCAAGTATGATTTGAACTCTGGCACTTGAATAAAATTCTGGGGACAAACTTGGGTGGGGAATGTTCCTCTTAAGGACCTGTTTCCCTCCCTGTATGCCCTCTCTGAGTTTAAAAATAAGTCAATTTCTTTTTTCATCACCCCTTCATCCTCCAGTTCTGAGTTTGGGTGGAACCTGGGATTGAGGAGGGTTGTGAGGGACTCTGACTTCCATAGTGTCTTGAGCCTTCTTGACCTCCTTGATAATGTCTTCATTGACCCCTTAAAGGTGGACTCTAGAACTTGGACCCTGACTCCCATGGGCTCTTTTTCCTGTGCTTCCTTTTTCAGAGTCTTATGTCAATCCACCAATCTCGCTACCTCTCCTTTCCCAGTTAATGAAGTTTGGTGTAGACAAATCCCTCCTAGGGTTGGTAGTTTTTGTTGGGAAGCCTATCTGGAAAGATTCAATACTGGTGACTTGCTTCAAAAGAAGAGACCCAATACATGCTTATCACCTCATTGGTGTGTTCTATGCAAAGCGGATGAGGAGACTAGTTTTCACTTATTGGTGTCATGCCAATTTGCAAAGTCAATTTGGGAATGGGCTTTTTCTCTCTTTGGGTGCAGGTGGAACCCTCCATCAAATTTGCAGAGCCTATTTTCTCCTTTGTTCAGGTGGCACGTGAAAAGGGGAAGGACAATGTGGGGAGGACTGAGGGCTGCAGTATGTTGGTCCTTATGGGAAGAAAGAAATCTTAGAATCTTTTCGGATAAGGAGAGAGGGGATGAAGAATTGAGGGCTGCGATCCATATCAGGGCTGTACAATGGCTGAAATCTCTAGAGTTATTCACAGACTACACGGTGGATGACATGTTAAGGAAGTGGGATGAGATTACAAGTTGTATGAAGTCCAAATCAGTTGTGAAGGTGTCTTGGACACCCCCACCTGCTGGATTCCTAAAACTGAACATTGATGGGAGTTGTAGGGGGAATCCTGGACAGTCAGGGATTGGGGGCATTTTTAGGGATGAGAATGGGGTCATTTCAGCCATGTTCTCAGGTCCAATTGGAGTGGGGAACTCTCTTAGAGTTGAGATCTTGGCAGTTATGGAAGGTGTTCAGAAAGCTAAGGAAATGGACGTCAGAAAACTCATAATTGAAGGGGACTTGGAGGTGGTCATAGGGTGGCTGAGGAAAGACAACTGTGGATTATAGAAGTAAATGAGAAAAGAAAGTTCAAGTGGCTGGTGTGGGAAATGGAAATCAGGCTGAGTTTGGGCTAAGTTGTAACTAATTTGCTTCTTTTTTCCTTTCTTTCTTTGAGGACTTAAGTTGTCTTTGGAAGATAAGAGTGTTTATCTTCCTTGATGTAACTATTCCTATTATATTTTAATAAAATTACTGAAGTTGTTATTGATCAAAAAAAAAAGGCAAGGGAATGATACACTAGACCCTCTTTTTTAATATCTACAAATCTCCAAAAACGAGTACAAGGAATTGGTTGCTTGTGCAATGTGTTTGGGGAACTGGTTGGTCCTATGTTGCTCCATTTTAACCTGTCCCTTAAGGTGTGGTCTCACTTCTTAAAGCCATTCCACCAGCAATGTGTTCTTCCAGCAAACCTAGCCCATTGTGGTCTGGAGGAGTGATGGTCTCAACAAAGTGGTTCTTTGGAGGCTTCTTCCTTTCACATTGTATTGGTCCATTTGGCAAGAGTGAAATAAGAGGATTTCTGAGTCCAAATTCTTACTCTGTGGAGGCCATCATTGGGAAGGTTGAGTGTCTCATGATCCATAGGTGTTGTTTAAGGCAACTTGAACGTTTCAATTTCAACCTATTGAAGAATAGATGGGATTGTATTATCTTTGAGCCTTCTTTTACTATCTAGGGGCTTACATTATCTCCTCTTCTACTTACCATGTAATATTGAGGGAACCTCTCCCTCTACTAGCAACAAAATGCTATCAAAGAAAAAAAACATAAACAAACCTCCAAAAATCAAAGATTTCTATCCAAGGAAACTGCTGCAAGGAAACATACACAAGTCCCTTAGGCATCCAGATTAGTGGACCCCACTGATTCTGGTGGGCCCAGATAAGATATCTCTAAAAATTTGGATTTTTTTTCTGCTTTTATTTCTTCTTTGCATGTGTCAAGGCTGAGAATGATGCTTGTGGGTGTCCATGTGCATGTCCAATAAAAAAAGACATTGCTCTCTAACATTTGGGAATCCTTGAGAAGTTGAGACCAAAATATAGTGAAGAGAAAGAATTATGAATCTCTGAAATGATAAATAAAAGTATGAACTTGTGAAATACACCTTGTACCCATATACTGTATATTTCCAATAACATATAGTTTCCACAATATTGTCTAGAACAATAAAATACCTGCTCTTATAATTTAGCTAGCTTGACATATGTAACATGTTATCAGCTCTTGATTTTAAAATGGTAAAAGCATAAAACTGGCACCCTGGGTAAGATGAGGCTGCTGTTGATGAATTTACATTTGACAATTTGCACTTTATTTGACAAAGGTAACATAAAGTCAAAAAGTGGACGATATAACAGAATGCATACAGGATATAGAAATGAAAAATGTAGAAGGAATTGCTAACAACCTATTTCATCATAGTAGTCACTTTTCTCATATCCATGAGGGTCAAACACATCTTTACTGAAGCAAGACCCTATCTGATCTATATCTTGATATCTCACTGCATGCAGCAAGAAGTCAGGGTTACGATAGTCCTTCCTATTGCGAACTTCTGCATTGAAGCTTTTCCCAGCTCTTTTATATGCAAGAAATCTGTTTATTTTTTCCTGCAACCATTAATAGAAAAGCAGGAAGATTTAAAGCAACCGCTAAAGCTGAAAAGGTTTAGACATCTAGATATAGAGTAGGTAAGTCCAAAAAAAAACACAAGGATGTAATGGTTGCAATAAACAGTATCTTTGCATTACTTCCATAATATGTACCTACTAGGATCACTGGAGATAACAGGTAGCAAACAAAGGATAAACCAACAGATCCTGGCACTCACTCTAGACAGACTGGTGGACAAGTAATAAAAACTGTCAAAATCTCCCTTAATCCAACCAACTTGTAATATGGAACATAACAAATAGACTCCATCCATATCTAATTGACCTGCTATGAAGAAATGGATGGAAAAATGCTTTCCTTGTTGCACATGCATAAAATACCTATAATGCAATAAACCAACAGCCCCTTATATACAGCAAATCTACTAGAGAAACAGGCATAAACCACAAAGTTTCCAATGCCAATCCAACCATTTTTCCAAAATGCAATTCTAGAACCATTTCCCACTTTGAGCAACTAAACCAGCATTGAACATCATTACCTACCCCCACCCCTCCTCCCTATAAAAAGAAAAAAAGTGCTAGCATGAACATGGATTTCATGGCAATTTCCTGATCACCCAACAAAAAGTTGGCACAGAGTTCAAATAAAGGTTGCAAAAGTCACAGTTGTTATTGACAGCCTGCCTTAGAATAGAAAATTCTCCAATAGTAAGCACCAGGTACACTTTTTTTTTGTTTTTTGTGAAAGGTAAGATAAATTTTATTAGAAAACAACAAGCAAATAGTACAACAGCTCCCTAACCACACTGAGATTGGCCAGGAAAGCAGATCAGATTACAAATTCCAAAGGGAATGGGATCTTAACAACTCAAACACATTCTGGTTTTTGAACTCAGAATTTACAGATACCCAAGATATCAGTCTGCTAACAGCATAATGGATTAAAGTCTTCTGAACTCTTCACTTTGTTACAGAAGGTTCTATTGTTTCTTTCAGTCCAGATAGACCAGAGTACAGCTGCAGGAACAGACTTCCAGACAATCTTTCCTTTTTTCTTCAGACCTTGGGCTTTCCAGCAGCACATTAAGTCTTTGACTGAGCTCGGCAGTCGGCATAACCCAACTGATCCCAACTGCATTGAGAAAATGATCCCACACCTTGGAAGTAACAGAACAGTGTATACTCAAGTGGTCAGTTGTTTCAAGCACTAGTCCACAAAGGCCACAAGACAGATCCAAGAGATATAGTCCCCTTCTCTCCAGATTTGTTCTAGTGAGGCACTTATCTAAAGTCATAACCCAAATCAGAAAGTTCACTTTTGAGGGAGGGGTAGGATTCCAAATCCGCTTACTAGGGAAATCTGAAAGACCAGATCTGCTCAGTTTTGAAGCCAAAGATCTCACTGAGAAACACCCATCACCATTCCACTTCCAATACCACTCATCCTCCTTGCTGATGTCAATTTCTTGCCTCTGTAACAGGTTCAGCAACTCCAACACTTCGCCAAACTCCCAGTCAAACAAATTTCTTCTGAACTGAGGGACCCAGACTACTTAATTTTCAGAATAGACATAAGAATCAGCACTGAGACATCTTGATCAGAAGCCCACTGGAAGAGGAGAGGGAAAGCTTCAGCCAAGGTACTGTCCATACACCAAGGATCCTTCCAAAACTTTAACCTGTCACCTTTGCCTATCTTAAACCCCACCCCTTCAGAAAAACAGGGAAAACATTTCATGATTCCTTTCCAAATAGAACAGCCCCAATTTGGAAGGGGATCTTGAGAGCACCAACCACTCCAAACTTGGCCGCAATTAGGTTTCTCCACTATGAGTTCCTTTCAGTACCAAACCTCCAAATCCACTTACCAAGGAGGGTTGTATTAAACAATTTTAATTTTCTGATTCCCAGACCCCCTTCTTCAATAGGAAGACAGACTTGCTCCAACTTAATGAGATGGATTTTCTTTTCTTCTTCCCACCCTTTCCACAGGAAGTTTCTTTGTAAGCATTCTAGCTTTTTTGACAATTTTAGCTGTAGGGGTGCAAATGGATCAGATCATACAGTCTGAAGTCCAATCCCATTTTGTCCGGATTTGGATATCCCCCATTTTGGATCAGATAATAGGATCCGATCAGAAATTGGATCAAATTCGGATCACCCTCCTATCCAATCCGATATATATACATATGTATATATGTTATTTATTTATTTATAAATATATTATTTATATTGCATTTTTGTAAATTTGTTATATTATTTATTTTTTATAAAAAACATGTATATATATGATCAGAATAGTTGAATAGATACTTGTATTTTTTGTTTTTCTTTATGTAAAATTGTTATATTTTATTTTTCTTTTAATAATTTATTACTTTTTTAAAAATTAAATCGGATCAAATCAAATCCAAATATCTGACTTCCTCATCAGATTCGAATTCAAATCCATGTTTGTGTGATCCGATCAGATCGGATCTACTCTCCATGGTATCACTTCGGATTCGGATATACCATGATTCAAATCCAATCCGATCCATTTGCATCCCTATTTAGCTAGGACTGGGATGAGGGAAAGGAAATAAGTGGGAACGTTAGACAGAGTGCGCTTTATAAGTGTCACCCTACCCCCCATTGAGAGATATTTAGCTTTCCAAGAAGAGAGTTTCCTCTCCAATCTTTCAATCACAGGGCCCCACAAAGTGGCAGATGTACACTTTGCCCCCAGAGGGAGACCCAAATACTTTACAGGGAGGGAATCCACTCTACAAGCCAAGACTTTAGCACAGTCCTCCAAATTGGCAACTTGTCCCACAGGAATGATCAAACTCTTGCCCAAGTTCACCTTTAGGCCTAAGACCACTTCAAACCAACAAAGAACTCCAAGTAACACCTCTAACTAATCAAGATCGGCTCAAGAAAATAAAGAGTGACATATGCAAACTATAAGGTAGATGAACAAAAGGGGAGAGAGAGGATCACCCTGTCTTAACCCTCTAGTGCTCTCAAAAATAAAAAACCTACAGATTGCCCATTTACCAAAACAGAAAATTTGGGGGAAGAAATGCACGCTTTAATCCAATTTCTCCATTTTTTACCAAAATTCATTTTTTCTAGCACAAAGTCCAGACACTTCCAATTTAAATGGTCATAAGCTTTTTCAATGTCCAGCTTACTTCCTTTTTCGAAAACTTAAAGTCTTAGGCCTTGACCCACTTTCCACCATCTGGCACCAACCAAATTTCTCTTTAGCACCACACATCACCCGCCCTTCCACGTCAACTCCGCCCTCCTCCTTGCTTCTCCCTCCCCAGAGAACCTCTTCTTCTCCCAAAACAACCCAAACCTTGTACCAACAACCCTCTGTTAGTAGATGCAGCACCCTTGGAACCGCTTCCCACAGTACTCCAATTACTTAAATTTCGCTGCAGACAAATCTTTAGAGTTGAAAATTCTAACAAGCCTCCCATCACCACTGTGACCCTGTGAAAGGTAGCTTCCATCCAGAGAAGGAACGACAAGCCTCACAGTTTAATAGTAAGGGCTCCATCAAAAAACACCAACTCGTTTGAAAGGGGGCACCACCGATTAATTAATGCTACACCCTCACTGGTGTCAACTGTAAGGTCTCCAAAACCTTATTTCCCACATCCAGCAAAGCCTTACCCACTCCAAAAGGACTTAATATAGATGGTTCAGATAAGCTTAGCTTCACAGAAACATCCTCCACAATTTTGTTCCAATTTGGTGTCTCTTTGTTTACTATGATTACATACCTCTGTTCCCAATCTCTTTAACACCTTCAAGGGACAACTTTTGTTCTGCAGATGAGAACCAAATCAACTCTATGGGATCGTTAACAGTTGTTTGTGCCCCTGTCTTGGAGCCTGATGCTTGTTCCTCTGATGTCTTCTCTTCTAAGCGCTTACCTGAGATTTCCTCTCTTTCCCCTAACTTTCCATTAGTTTTGCTCAGGTCCTCTGGTAATACTAAAAGATGTTATAGAGCTTCCGCCACTAGTTTCATCCCCTAATTAGCTTGCCTTCTGGGATGCAAACCAGCTTTTTCTTTCCATGGCTAAAGAATTCAGCCAGTGACACATAGGCTCCATTTTTGTTTTCCAGTACTTCCGCCCAGTAAATGGTATCACCTTCTTTGTATGAGACTTGCTAGTTCACCTTCCGCTGTGAATGGATAGCTCCTTTCAGAAAACCTTTGAACCACAAGATAGCTTTGCCCCTCAGCAAGATCATCACCTTTGAGAGCACATTGAACTTCAATACGACTCCTCTTCTGGTGAGGATTTCCTCCAGTACGAATGTCTTTGCCTCCACTCTAATCTTCTCTCTCCACCTGTTTGCACGAACAAAGCTCCTTTCTTCACCTCTTTCCATTCTTCTCGTGTTAGAGCTGCTGGTATTTGAGTCTAATATAGGATATGGAATATGGATAACATCATAATAGATAGTTTATTTTATTTCTGAACCTATTATGAATTTTTTTATTTAAATTTGATTTTGTTATCGACAAAAGGGTTTCACCAATTAAAAATTTAAACTTACAACTGTTGAAAAATTCCAATACCCATCAGTAACACTGTTTACAAGTATGCCTAGAAAATAATTTGCATATTTACCCCCTATTTAGCTAATGCATCTGCTACCCCGTTTGCAGTTCTATGTAAAGTTGATTATTTATAGCTGCAAGTTGGTTATTGAATAACAATAACCAATACCAATCGCATATTTTTATTTTTTTAATTTAGAATTTTAGATTGATAACTAATTTATTTTCTTTTTTGTTATAGACCTTGACCTTCAAACTTCAAAGAGTTACATTAGACTTCTTAGCTCTTGCCAAGTAGAGTAAAGAGATGGGAGACGAGTCAGACAACACTCGAGAAAGCAATAAGAAAGACATGGGATGGAAATATTGCTATTTACAAGATCCAAAGAACACAAATTCTATCACTTGCAAATTTTGTGGCAAATTGA